CCTTCTCCAGGCAGAAGCAGCTCACATTTCTTTGCCTCTTTGGTGTTTCTGCCCCAGCACTGCAGGAGGGGGACAAAGGTGGTCTCTTCCCTGCAGATTCTATCTAGGGATCAGTACAGAGGGCTCTTATCTTTCAAAAAAAACCCTACAGCTACCACCGTAGGCACAGCGGTCATGAACGTTTCAGGGTTCAGATACCAAAGGGGTCTCTGATCTCCCAGACATCCCAGCGTGGCACACCTGGATCACCATGAGACCACCAGAGAGACCACCTCTCAACAGCCCAGCAGCTGAAGCCCCTTCCTGCACTGTTGATGGAGCAGGACTGAGTGAGGGACAAGGAGCAACTCCCAGCCCTGATCCCCCGTGAACTCCGTTTTTCCCTGCAGAGCCTGTGGTGACCACCCAAGCATCTGCCACAGGGTTGCTGCACCCACCTGAGTTCCAGCATCCCTGCAGGGGCCAATTTTGACTCAACTTGCGTAAATGGAGATCTGCAGGGCCAAATCCAGCCCTTGACCTCCTTCCCATGCCTGTCCACAAGGCCGCCCAACCTTGTGCCTCACTGGCAAGGAGATTGCCACCCACAGCATGAGCAGAACCCAAGCTGAATGTAGGACAAGGAGACGGGGGTTTTCCCTGGCCCTTCTCAGCTCCACCAAATCAGAATAACTACGAGTTGTTCCCACCAAATATCAGCTTCTTGGTGCTCTCCTCACTGTTGGCAGGGGACTGTAAAAGTCAGGGCAGATGCTTTCACCAATCAGGCAGCACCTGCCAGATCCCTGCTCTTCTCCATTATGGCCTGCAGCAGGGCTGGGACAGAAGCCAGTGTTTTGTTCCTCATCCTTTGACAGCATTCCCACAACGCTGTCCAAAGCTCTGGTTCCAGGGGAAGGCAACGTACGTCCCACTCGTTAACAATAAGGAAGTGTGATGGGATTGAAGCACAAGCCCCTTTGCAAGGAGGGAAATTCCCACACATTTAGGGAGAGTCTCAGTGTCCGCAGATTTCCTCCTAAACCAAATGCCATGTGGTGCTTTCCCAGCAGTTATCCTCTGTAAAAGGTGACTCCTGGAAGGGGGTCCAGCACAGCAACTTCTCCACCCTTGGTCCATCAGTGAGAACCAACCCAATACTCTGGGTCTATTCTGCATCTGATTCACAGCATCCCACGACAGCTCTGGAGACTGTAGAGAATCAAGAATTTAGGGCTCATGGGTGGTGCATATCATAGGGACATACATGAGTGCTTTCCAGCACTTATTAAGGCCTGAGGATCTTTTGGGGTAGATTTTTCTAGAAGGCAGAGTAGTGGGGGAGGGTGAAATGTATGTAGACTCTTCTCCATGATATTATCTGCCATGGCAAAGGGTTTATTCAGGTGGCAGAGAGCAGAGCCCATCTACCTCTCTCCATCAACCCTGCAGCTACATCAGCTGGGCAACCTCTGCTCCAAGTAGTCTTCTGGGGACAGGCTTGTGTTTGTGTGTGTGGAGAAGAAAAGGATCCAGGGAGACCTTATTGTGGCCTTTCAGTACTTAAAGGGGGCTTATAAGAAAGATGGGGACAGACTTAAACAGCAGGACCTGATGCGATAGGCCAAGGGGTAATGGTTTTAAGCTAAAGGAGGGTAGATTCAGACTAGATATATGAAAGGAATTGTTTATGCTGAGGGTGGTGAAACACTGGCCCAGTTTGCCCAAAGAGGTGGTAGACGCCTCATCCCTGGAAACATTCCAGGTCAGGTTGGACGCAGCTCTGAACAACCTGATCTAGTTGAAGATGTCCCTGCTCATTACAGGGGGGGTTGGATTACATAGCCTTCAAAGGTCCCTTCCAACCCAAACTATTCTATGATTTTTGAATAGGACTGGAAAAGCATACCCTTCTGACAAAAACTGAGAAGACATCTCCCTAGAGTGGTGTGTGGTATCAGGCTTCTGACGACCTCTTTCAAAGCCACCTGGCCTCCTGCTTTGTTGCTGCGTCACAGAAGACTTTGAAACAGAGCCCTGTCCGGTCCTATTTTACATGGCGCAGTTAATGGATTGCTAAGAATTATTATGGGCCAGTGGCACCTTTCCCTTCCAGACCTGTTATTCCTTCTCCTTATATTGCTTATAAACATATAAAGGGCAGGTTGAAGGAGGATGGAGCCAGACTTTCCTCAGTGGCTCCCAGTGACAGGACGAGGGGCAATGGGTGCAAATTGGAACATACGAAGTTCCGTTCCAATACACGGAAAAACTTCTTTACAGTTCAGGTGACAGAGCACTGGCACAGGCTGCCCAGGGAGGGTGTGGAGTCCCCTTCTCTGGAGATTTTCAAAACCCGCCTGGATGCAGTCCTGAGTAATGTGCTCCGGGCAATCCTGCTTTAGCAGGGGAGTGGGACTAGATGATCTCTAGAGGTCCCTTCCAACTCTGAAGATTCTGTGATTCTGGGATTCTCCTACATACTAATTTTGGCTGAGTCAATACCTTCTTCTACCCACAATCTCAAGACATGCACTACAATATTTAATACTGCTGCATATTCAGCAAACAAGCTTAAAAATTTTCCACTTACTAAAGCTTTACTGTTTTTTTCTTCCTTTTCCCCTCCCTCTGGGAGGGTGATAAATGACTGAAAATCAAGATATGATAGAAGCTCTTCATTCATCAGCTACGGTTGCAACTCTTCCTGAAGTCAAGTGTGGGAACCGCATCTGGGACAAAGCGTGGCCCTGAGCCCGGATGTGCCTTCTCCACCTTAACAGCAGCATCTGCTTCCCAATATGGCATGCTCTGCTCTATCTCAGGCACAACTTGAAACTTTGCAGCTGTTGCCACTGCGAGTCTGCTAAATCCAGCAAGGAGGGAGAGGTCGGGATAGTGGGGGAGCGCAGGGCACTCATTATCCTGTGCGCAGGGATGGGAACAAAGCTCGCATGCATCATGCAGAAGCACAAAACCAAGTCAGTCCTCGCATGGGAAGAGCCAGGCACTCCCAGAGCAGGTGAAGAGAGCGTAGGTACCAATATCTCATCCTGGAGAAAGGTCTCCTCTTTCTTTCAGTCTTTCATTTGTAACTCCTGGGAGCTATTCCCTAAGCACGCAAGTTTTGTTGACAGACTGGAGGAAACTTAAGCATTTGCCACCACAGGCAATAAGAATGGTAGGGTCCAAGTTCATCCACCATGCCCAATGTTGGACTATTGGTTGCTTTCTTCTCTTTTGTTCTTCCCCCTGTTCAACTCCCAAGATGGAAAGAAGTGAAGGCAAGTTTATTACCCAGACAGGACTCATGGAGGACTTCCAATCACACTTGCTTTCCAAGTCATAAGGAAGTGAAAAGCAGATGAGAGCCCAGGCACGTGCCAGAGCTGGAGGTCAGTTGTGAAAGGCTGGATGCCTGGATCAGGGGATGCATAAAGTCAAGGAGGATGTTCCTGAAATTGGGGGAAGAATCTGTCCCTCATTGTGAGGAAACTCAAAATAGAAAATCAATAAAATAACCAGGCAAAAAAGATCAGCTCAGTCTTTCTGGGAAAGATCCAAGGGTGAAAAACTAATTCCAGAAAATGAGGTCAACCTTCTCTAATAACCATAGCTACTGTTTGTGCTCCAGTAAGACACGCATGTGTGGAGTTTACCTCTCCTCTATTTATGGATTTGGCCTCTTGACCTGGAATTCAATGCTGCTCAGTTGATCCTGTCGTGTTGTGACGGGCCATATCCTGCATGTTTATTGCATTGGCACCAGTGTTGTCTTTATCTAAAGGGTGAGGGAAAAGACCAGTCCAGGGCTTACACTGGAATCCAGCATCCATCCTCCCTGTCCTTCTAAACAACTAAATTTGATGCAATTTCTCACTTCACTTTTTTCTGCCTTTTTTCCCAGTTGGGACCTCTGAAGCTACTGTAAATCCTCCTGGAGAGAACATCTGTGCAAGCCCCACAAAAGAGGGCTTTTTGGTACTCAATTTAGAGCAGGAAGTATCCCATCATGAGGTGGGACTTTGGGGGATTTGGGAGATTTGGGTCCTTACAGCACTGGTTGATAGAGACATCTTGAAACCTGATCTGGACATGTGCTTTGAACCCATCTCAACAATTGCATAGTTCGTTATGCTTTGCCCTATCTCAGTCTCTTCTCATCCAGCCAAGGGTGAAGGGACACTCAAATCCCCACTCCGAGATGGACCTGATACCCACGATGACTCTACCACCAGTAGGTAAGGGCTGTGTGAGGATGGAGGAACACGTTGCGGGGTTCCTTGGCAGAACCTCAGACTATTTCCACCCTTGACTAATCTATACTCAGCCACTTCAGCCCAGTTCTTGGATAGATCTTAATAACCTCTCTCCCAAACGACCGCGGCCAGAGCGTCACCAAAGTGTGCAGGGTCACCCTTTGTCTCCCAGCGCCAGGTTTCTTCTCAGGGTCTGGACAGCTGGGTAGGTTCAAAGCATGTCAACAGGCTTTGTGGCATTTGGTCCAGCTCCTTCCTGCAACTGCCAGGGATGCTTCTGTCTAATCCCAGTTCGTATCAGGAAGATGAAAAGAGAGGTATTTTCCTCTTGTCTCGCAGTGGCATTGCGGTGGCCTTGAGCTGGCAAGTTCTCAGCAAGGAGATTTTGTTCCCACAGAGACACAGGAAAATTGACCCGGGGAGGGGACAAGAGGGGGGCAGCAACATCAGTTTTAGTTTACTAGAGAAGTTCAGGCATTAGCACCGTAAGGAAAGCTGGAGCCCTCTTTAGCATTTCCAGCACTTCATAAATTTCAGAGAGATTTCGGGCAAGGAGCCAGATGTTTGGGGAGAAATTCTGAACACTAAAGACAAGTGGAAATATTTTTTTTTTTTGGTAGTGTGTATTTTTTCCCATTAGTTGCAAGGCTATATTTAGAAGAGAGGGGGGGAGAGAGAGACCGTGCAAGAGAGATTAGGCATTTCTTCATATTCTGTAGTCACTCCAGTTGTTCTGCTTGTAGGAACAGATGTCTCTTTCCTGGGCCGATAGCACTCAGATCCACGAGGAAGTTTTCTTACCAGCAGTTCCTCTAAGATAGAAGAGAGATCGGGCCAGAGGTAAGTCAGTCCATCGTGGAGGAATACACTGCAGGGACCACTGCAGTGAATGCTTTGGGATACGGTCAGAGAGAAGGGGGGGG